ATACTTTGGGGAGAGTCACAGGACAGGGAGGGCAGAAGAGAAAGCCTCAGCCCACCTTCTACCTTAGAGGGGCAAACAGGCTATAAAAGCAAAGTTGATGCTAAAGAATGGACATGTCTTGGGGAACTGCTGACCTGGGTATCTTTCAGCCACTCCCTGCTGGGGCCCAAACAGGTCAGGGAGCCTGGGAAACTTACTAACACTAACAGAGTAAAAGGACATTTTAAGGAATTATGCATTTTATTATTTTTTAAAACTTTTATTGAATTTATTGGGGTGTCATTGGTTAATAAAATTACATATAGGTGTCAGGTATACAATTCTGTATATTGTATTGTGTGTTCACCACTCCAAATCAAGTCTCCTTCCATTACAATTTATCCCCCTTTCCCGTCTGTCCGCCTCCCCCCATCCCTCCCTCTGGTAATCACCATACAGCTGTTTGTGTATATGAGGTTTCTTCTCTCTGTGTTTTTTTCTTTCTTAATCCCTTCACCTTTTCACCCAGCCACCCTCTGACAGCTGTATCTATGAATCTGTTGCTATTCTGTTTGTTCATTTATTTTGTTCATTAGATTCCACATATAAATGAAATCATATGGTACTTGTCTTCCTCTGGCTGGCTTATTTCACTTAGCATTACTTTCCAGGTCTGTCCATGCTGTTACAAAAGGTAAGATTTCCTTCCTTTTTTTATGGCTGAGTAGTATTCCATTGTGTAAATGTACCACAGCTTTTTTATCCACTCGTCTACTAATGGGCACTTGGGCTACTTTAAATAATGTTGCGATGAATGCAGGGTGCATATATTATTTCAAATTATGTTTTGGGTTTGTCCAGTTAAGTTCTCTGAGGCGGAATTGCTGTGTCATACCATTTTAAATTTTTTCGAGGTAACTCCATACTACTTTTCACAGTGGCTGCACCAATTTGCATTCCCACCAAGCAATTGTGTATTTAACAAGGTATTCAATGAGCATGTGTTACAGTCAGTACTTATATATATAGGCTTTCATCTAATTTGCCTTCTGTGAAGACACTGCCATGTCTAAGAAGAAGACATTATGAATCCTCGTTTAGATGTGGAAGCTAAGGTTCAGGGAGGTCAGTTATTGCCCACATTGGGGGCACAGGTCTGTCCACCTGCAAAGCCAATGTGCTTCCCACAGAAAGAGTGTGGAGCTGGGCAGTGAATCCTTGCCATCTGCACCATTCTGACTTATGGGTTGGTGGCTTGTACTCCTGGGCTAAGTGGGTACAAGTGGGGTGTCTGTCAGGCATAGTGTCCTTTCCTGTCCACCTGATTAAAGGAAAAGTAAGCTGTCTGTCTTAAATGGGCTGATGGAATCTTTCTTCAGTCTTCTAGCCGTCAATAACCATCTGAAAGGAAGTACTGGGAAAGAGCTAAGAAGACAATGTAACTTTGGGAAAGTCACTTTTCCTCTCTGAGTTTTAGTGACCTCATCTGTTAAATGGGTCCAATAAACCCTGTGTAACAGGGCAGTGGAGACACTAAACAGATATCTTATTAAGGTCCCTAATGTTGTGTTTGGCACAACATAAATATGTTATAAATGATAGCGGTTGTTGCAATTTCTGGTTTACCTCTTAGAAACGGTTTTGGAAAAGGCATAGAGTTGAAAATAATTGTTTAAGTCACAAGTTTGTTTGGAGGCTGAGAACGACTACAAATGAAGAAGGGCGAGGAAGCACAGGCAGCCTGGGTTCAGGAAAGAGAGCCACTTTCTCTAGGGTGGTCCCTTCTCTTGCTGTTGCATCATCTCAGACTGAAGCCCGGCTGTTTAGAGACAAGGAACTCCTACTACAGCTACATATGGCAGGAACCTCGAGCATTTTAAAAGTCAAAAGACAAGTGTAGGAGGAATTAATGCAAATGGCTTTGCTCCTTATTATATAGTCCCCTGAAGGTGCATTTGTTAGAACTCTCTTACGATGGGCAGCTTCTCCAGAAGGCAGTTTGGGCTGGTTCCCAGGCTTGCCTGCCAGCTTAATTGTGCCGATAGCAGTGAACAGGCTGATCCTGGGGCCTCGCCCAGGCTGCTCATTCTGACCCCCACAGGGGCACAGAGACCTACAGGTTCTGACTCAAAGCTGCTCCAGTGGTAGCTGCTCTCTGTCCACAGAACCCACAGCCCATGCTGCAGTGGAGCAGCGTCTACCTCCACCCTCATTTCTGCACCCTTTTCAGAAAGGCTTTCTGTGCTGAAGCAAGACTAACCCTGCCCCAGGGAGAGAGTAAAATGTGCTTCCAATCACAGGCCCTGGGGGAAGGGGTGAGCAGTGGGGCAGACTGCCCGGGCATGCAGAGGGCTGTTTTCTTTTAGCAAACACTGCAAGCATTATTGCCATTCGAATTTGCAATAACAGAGAATAGGAGGCTCAGAGATTCCACTCGGAGCTAGATTCATTTATGTTTTAACTAATCCCCCAAACAGTGTATTTGGTTCAATATAATTTCCTGTAAGATAGTACAGGACAAGTGTTAGTAGAGTTTTGGCATGAGGGAAGCCAAGAACAGTAACTTCTTTAAAGTTAGTGCATTGGTGCCGGGACCGGTTTGGCTCAATGGATAGAGTGTCAGCTTGGGGACTGAAGGGTCCCGGGTTTGATTCCGGTCAAGGGCATGTACCTTGGTTGCGGGCATATCCCCAGTAGGGGGTGTGCAAGAGGCAGCTGATCGATGACTCTCTCTCATCGATGTTTCTGGCTCTCTGTCTCTCTCCCTTCCTCTCTGTACAAAATCAATAAAATATATTTAAAAAATAAAAATAAAATAAAAATAAAGTTAGTGCATTGGTCTTACCAGGGCTTATATTTCTAGGTAGATTTGGCAAACTAGTTCTTTCAAGTCTGTTTTTCAGATATTGACAGCAGAGTCAGGTGACAATGAAGGCTCTGCAGACCCAGAGGGAAAGCACTCTACCAAACAGAAAAGGGCAGATATTGAAATTCCACAGCTAATTTTTCACTGTAGGTTTTTCAACAATAAAAAAGCTGTTGAGATTTAAGATCACTTAGAGCTAGAGAGAGAAGTTTTGTTCTCTTCCAAGCCAATTTTTAGAAAGGGTCATTCCTTTTTTGTTAAATGAACAACACATTTCCAGACTCACTGGTATATGTGCATGTGGCATATGTGTGTGTGCACACATACATATACACACTCACAAAGGCATAGCCATCTAATTTCAATTCTCAGCCTCTATTCTTCCTTTGATTTGCTTTGTAATTCCTGACTCAGTAATCCTAATCTGTGTAGAGCACTTTTAGTAAGGGGCAACTCCTACATTTAAAAGATTTATCTGAAATAGGTATGGCATAAAAATGTAGAATTTTTATAGAAATTTAGTAGGATACCTTTATATTCTATAAACCACAGCATCGCTGCTTCCTTTTTAATTTCCAGAACTCCTGAATGATGAATCACAATATTGGGTCTTACGGGTTATTTTCCAGGTACCCTTTCACCTCTGAGATCCCAAGCCTTGAAAAAGATACGTTTGGCATAGATATACCTAAGAAGATATCTTCTGGAGAATCCCCTATAGATAGACAGGCTAGATGTCTAGATCAGTAGTTGGCAAACTCATTAGTCAACAGAGCCAAATATCAATAATACAACAATTGAAATTTCTTTTGAGAGCCAAATTTTTTAAATTTAAACTCTTCTAAAGCCACTTCTTCAAAATAGACTCGCCTAGGCCATGGTATTTTGTAGAAGAACCACACTCAAGGGGCCAAAGAGTTGCATGTGGCTCGCAAGCTGCAGTTTGCTGACCTTGGATCTAGAGCATTCTGGCCCACATGTTGTTTCAAACATGGGGAAGGCCATTTCTTGGAGATCTGAGTACAAAGAATCTAATTCCCCCACAATCTGGCATTTCAGACCTCAACAATCAGCCCCTTGTCATAAATATGAGTTCACATCATTGATCCCAGACTGAGCACATTCTGTTCTCCAGTGGGCCTCTGTCTAACTATTCACCTCCAACCCCAAAAGGGCTACGCCAGTGTGTGGGTGACTGGCAGGGAGATTACTGGCGCTAACCACATTTGCAGCCTTACTGGCTGTGCCCATGAACACAAGATCATCTTGGGGGACCCTAAAAGCCGGTCTCTCAGTCAGCAAGGCTTTCCCTCTCCCCGCTCTAGTGAAGTCTGACTTTAATGTGTGCCCATTACCTCGGCCTACACACCCATTCACAAAGAAACCTGCTTCACAAGTTTGCCGCTATGCACAACAGATCGCCTCCACTGTGCCCTTCCAGGAAAGGGCCAACTCTTTCTCAGGCATGCACTTCCTTCTGACCAAGCGTTCTCTTTGCTGCATAAATGCAAAAACATATGCACGCACACAAGGTATCCCTCATTTCCTCTGGAGTAATGGGAGCCTGGGCAATACTTTAAGTATTCGTTTTCCAACATAAATTAGAATGGAGTATCGCAAATACCAGTGACATCTGCATGGATCCAGAATGTATTCATTATGGTCAGTGCTATTACAATGAAAGGAAATGCATTCTAATGGCAGGGCATTTGACATAATGTGTTGCTGGATTCTGCGTCCATAAAAGCCATAATGAAGAAACAGGAGCGTGGTAAATGAATTAAAAGGAGTAACATGGACACAGGGTAGCTTCAAGGGCTCTAGGCAATGTCAGTGAGAAGGCACATTCGCTCATGGAGCAACAGGGAGAAAGTTCGGATGGTTTGGAGATAGAAGAGGCAAGGAGAGCATTAGGCTGGTGTTCTGGAGAACTGAGGAACTGAGGTTTGAATTCTGGCTCTGCTATGGGCTAGCTTTGTGATCTGGGCAAGTTATGTGAGTCTCCCCTGCCACCTCACACTGGTCTTCTGTAATACCAGGGCATTCTACTTGCAGGACTGTGCAAGGAGGAAATGAGAGAATACATGGAGAGTGCTTGGCAGAGAGTGTGATGTATAATAAGCCTACAGTGTACAGGGGCTTTATTTTATTTTTTTATTTTCTATTCAGCCATTTCATATAGGAGGGGGATACAAATAAGTCCTTTATAGATCATGGCATTTTTAATCTACCCCATAAGCATAACCACTAAAATCTATTATTAGGAGAAAATGTGGTAGTCAAACCGGAAATGAAACGTTAGCTTTTGTTTTCCTTTTTGCTATCACTAAATAAAGGTACAGCTCTGGGATTTTAGGCATCACTTAGATCTCCAAATCTCAGTTTCTTCTTTTATTAAATAGAGCTAATAATACCTGCTCTACCTACTCAGAAGCTTATAATGAGGACCAAGTGAGATAAAATGTGTTTGGCAGATATTATTGGTTGTCTGACTTAGTCATTCCCAACTCACTCTCCTAGCACTCCCCTGGAGGGTAGAAGTGTTGAATATTTGCACACAAAGCTAATATTGCAGTTGGGGGTGTGTGAAGCCCAGTTCAAGGCCATGAGGCAGAAGGATAACTCTTCTGGTTTAGGAGGGTTGTTCATTGGCAAAGTGTCTACTTTTCTGATTAACAGACATCTGTCCCTTCTTCTGACCTCTTTTTTATTCCTGAAAATGTGTATACTATCCAAGGCTGCAGCCCTTTCTACATCCTAAGGCAGCAAGCATGAAGGAAAAGTTCACGGAGTCTCAGAGACACGAGGCAGTACTGACATTAGCCACTGAACCTCAGCCAGCAGTCAGTCACCTCCCTCCAAATTTATTGCATTAAACAAATAAGCTTTCCTTTGTTTAGGCTACTGATACTGGAGTTTTCTCCTCTTCAAAGCGGAACACTGTTCTGATACAGTGCATAAGTACTCTGGAGAATTAAAAGCCCTATATCTAAGTACATCATCATTTTTCTGCCAAGATATCATTCCCTGGGACCTATCTGGCTAATTTATGTATGCCCTGTAAACAGATTTAGTAAAATCTCCTCTAGGAAGCTTTCCAAGACCCTGTCCCCAGCCGGACTGGCATTCCGCCCACCCTTTGGCCATTTTAAGGTACTCCACGAACCCTCTATCAGTACATGTTATTCTGGTTTCTAATTATTCATTTACTTGTCTCTTTGCCCTACCAGTTAGTTAAAATGTCTCAACAGCAATGATCCTTATATCCATTTAAATTTGTCCTAGCACTTGGCATATGCCTGGCACACAATAGATAACTCATTAAGTATTTGTTGAAATACTGAATAAACCAACAAAAGAGTGATCTGAAAGGATGAGAAATAAACGATAAACAGCCTAGGGTGCCTTATTATCTATCCATTCATATTTTTGAAACACTGCAAATAGCTTTCTAATTCCCGTTACTGCTTTCAGGAACTCTAGACTGGGAAGCGTAGGACTAGGCAGTGATTTTTTTTTAATTGTTTTTAAAGTTATTCCACTTGACCCTTGTTTGAGTTCATGACATTCCTCTACTGATACTCCTTACATTATTTTTATGCTGTGTATTCAGTCCATACTTATCTACACAAAAATTATTTTCTTCTTTGTTGTTTTAGATCTTATCCCTTGTAATAACCAATACCTCCTAGGAATAATCCCATTTGCCACCAAAACAAATATTCACATTCCCCAGTGGCTCCCTTTCCAGGTGTCTGAGCAATGTCTGTGTGACAGGGGCTTCTGGGAATTTCCTGCTCACTCTGCCATGTCTGGGTCCTTATATCCCTGAGTGCAGAGTGTAGCTGCCAGGGGTGGGTCTATCATATGTGGCTCTCTGTGTCCCCTCTTTCTAAAGCCAGCTTGTCTCTGTGACTTGTATAGATCACAGCCTTCTTAAAGTATGATTCCTAGTCCCACTGCCAGAAAAATAATGTCAAGTAATGCAGATTATCAGTCACAATTGGCAACTCCGTTCCCCCTGCCTGCAATGCTCCAGTGCCCTTTTTTGCCTGGCTGGCTCCTTTGTTCTGCCAGGTTTTAGTTCAAAAGTGACCTTCATAACCCTCTTGAGCACCTTATCTCTAGTACCTTCTTCTCCCCAGTCCCTTCCTGTCAAATCGCCCGTTTCATTTCCATCCTAACACTGCTATCTGAGATAATTTTATTTATTTAGTGTTTTGTCCCCTTCAATCTCTTCCCACAAGAATTAACTTCCAGCAGAGAAAGGACCTCATCTCTCTTCCTTAGCAACAAGAGCTGTGCCTGGCATAATGCAGGTGCTCAAGGAGCACTTGTTGAAAATGAGTAAGAAGAGAGTGGGCAGTGTGTGTTCCCTCAGCGTTTGGCTGGCCTTGACAGAATTTCCTTTAAGGAGCGGGATTAAGGATGGGGTTGATGGCCACCACAAAAGCTCAGGGGTGTGAGGTTGGTTGGAAGGCTACCCGGAATTATAAAAAGAGCCAGAGTCCTGGCCCTGTCACTTATAAGATGTATACGAATTGGCACATATCCCTTAACCTCTCTGCGCTTCAGTTTTGTCATCTGCGTAGTGAACTGTTTCAGAGGATCAGTGCCTCTATTAAATGAGACGGTGATGGCAGAGAGTAAATAAATTAGTTCCCCTCTGCCTGTCCCTTAAGGCTGTAAAAAGAGGAAGGCCCAGAAGCCCTGGGAAAATGCCTTTTCCCATTCAGGCAGTCACCTTAGCAACTGCAGCGATCCTTCCCAGAAAAACATCAACCTGCTGTACTAGGGAGGCTAGCCCACAGGCCAGTTTTGAAGTCCTGAGTCATTCACAAGGCCCTGAGCCAGAGTCGAGCTCACAAGACTAGTAGAGATTTATTCCTCGCTCCCCAGCCTTATATGAGCTTATATTAAACTTGGGCTGCTTTTCCACAGTGTAAACGTATACATCTGCTTTCAGGCTCTTTGGGTGCTGATTCTGCCCTATCGTGTGCTCCTGGCCTCATCGAAACTAGATCATTCAAAGCCATCAAAAGCCTGCGTCCTCGGCCTGATAGAGACACTTTTGGTGCCATCACCCCTGACTGCTATGTGCCTGTTTGAACACAATTAATTCCTAACACTCAGCTCATTCTATTTATTCATTTGCTCATTCAATAAGCATCAACTGAGTGCCAAATGCCTACATGTCCAGCCCTGGCAATAAGAATCACCATATATTAGCAGTTATTCCATGGTAAACACTATGCTTGACTTACAAGCCTCAGGCCATTCATACCTCACAGGCATGATGATCTTCCCATTTTCAGACAGGAAAACTGAAGTTGAAGAGTTTACACAAATTGCCTAGGAGGGTAGTAAAAGGAGGGTCAGCACTCTACCCTAGGGTTTTTGCAACACCAAGCCCCATTCTGTTCATCACTGTACTCTAGTAAGTAGGTCTTGAACATGCACTTGGTACTTATCAGGGTGCTGGATATGTTGGAGAAGGAGAAAATAAGAGTTATGTTCTGATCAAAAGCAGGTATAAGAGCAAAGCACGGGATGTAGGATAAGAAGGATGTACTTTAATTCCTGACTCTCGCCACTGCTAGCTCTAGCTGGGCAACCTTGGATAAGTCACTTACTCTCACTCAGTTTCCTCATCAGCGTAGGATAGGGAGAGCAAATCACCTCTTAGGTTAGAATAAAGAAATGAGATGTCTGTGGGCAACCTGTAAATTGTAAAGGTACTGAATCAAGGTCAATTTTCTTGTTTCCTTGGTTATTTCTGGTAAATATTTGTTTAAATGACTTAGATGTGAACCTCATGTTGTACGTACAATTATACCCTAACAAGCACTATTATTAAAAGACTTGTGACCCATCCTATGTCACTTGTTTAGTGCTTTACACTTCTGAAGAGTGTACGGCATCACTTACATTTATTTGCATTTCTTACATACTGCCATTCACATTTGTTCTCTCACTTGACCCTTGATACAGGCAGAGTGGGTGCTATTGCTCTTAGGAGACTGAAGAGAAAACTGAGGGACGGAGAGATTCTACTGAAGGCCTGACATCACAGATCTACTCAAAGTCTTTATTAACCATCGAACTTATGAACTGTGGGAGGTGGGAAAATAAGCAGCATTTGCCAAACTTATTAGACCATGGAACCCTGGAAGAGTAGATCAACAACTCACATAATTAGTGTTCAGTCTAATATACCTGGGTAGCCCTGCATTGGGGGATTTCCATTTATAACTGCACATGCCATGCATCCTTTCAGTAGGCTGCTGAATCTTTAAGCATGCAGAGAGTCCAGCCAACACAGAACAGGTGTATGCCCTGAAATGTAGAGAGACCAATCACTGCATAGTAAGTACCATGCAGACAAAGACTGTGTCTCATTTTAATTTCTACTATAGCTCCAACATCTAGCACTGCTTGACACACAGTAGACATTTGATAGAATCCTATATTATAAAAGCCCAATATGCTAAGTGTCTGGTTATTGGTTTGACCAATTAAAGTGTAATATGCTAATGATATGCTAAGGATGCTCAACCATTCACTATGATGTGCACTGACCACCAGGGGGAAGACAGTGGACCAGTCCACCAGTTCCTATGACATGCAATGACCATCAGGGGGAGATGCTTTGACCGGTAGGTTAGCTTACTGCTAGGGTCTGGCCAGCAGATCGGGACTGAGTGAGATGGGCAGGACATGCCCTGGAGCCCTCCCATGGTCCCTCCCTGGTTGGCTAACTTCCCGTGTCCCTCCCTGACCCAATGTGCATCAGTGGGGTCTGTTGGCCTGGCCTGTGCCTTCTCACAATCCGGGACCCATCAGGGGATGTTGGAGAGCCGGTTTTGGCCCGATCCTGCAGGCCAGGCTGAGGGACCCCACTCATGCACATATTTGTGCATCAGGCCTCTAATTTGTTAAATAAGTGAATAGGGAATGAAAGTTGCAGAAATGACAGGTTCCATTGCTTTCGGAATGAGAGGCTGCACAGTTTTTCTGTTGTCAGTTATTTCAATTTCTCTATCTAGACTTCTAGACGGTGCTTAATTTATTTTCTCAGAACAAGAGACAGAGAATTGTTCCAATGGCCTTTTGCATCATGACAGTGCAGAGGAAGGTTGCCCTGCTGCTTGTTGATGAATAGCACATTAATGAGATCTCCTTGAAACAGTCCCACCTCTATTATGCAGGCAAAATTACATTTCCCGGCATAATTATTGTGTCAGTTGAGCTCCCAAATTTTGATATTAATTGGTTCACTTGCAAAAACAAC